AACCACATATGGTCTAAATTCTTTTAGCTATTCATCTGTTAAGTACTGGAACTCCCTCCCTGACCACTTTAGAAAGACTGTAGATTATAGTGAATTTAAGCACAAACTGTTAGTGCACAGTTTCTGTTAATATTACATTAATATTACATTATATTTTTATATTAATGATTATATTATATTATTATATTCATTTATGAATTATTTTTTTATCTTTTTAGCCTTGTTCTTGCTGTAACTTTTAAAAATTAGTAATTAGGATCGGAGATACTAGCTAGTAAGCTACACTGAAATCCGAGGATAAATAAAGCTTATGTATGTATGTATGTATGTATGTATGTATGTATGAATGTATGTATGTATGTATGTATGTGTATGTATGTGTGTGTGTATGTATGTATGTATGAATGTATGTATGTATGTATATGTGTGTATGTATGTATAAATGTATGACTGTATGTATGTGTGTGTGTGTATGTATGTCTGTGTGTGTGTGTGTGTATCTATGAATGTATGTATCTGTATGTGTGTGTGTGTATGTGTGTGTGTGTATGTATGTATGTAATTGCTCATGCTTTGAAGGATACAAGAGTTTAACTGAACATAATTGATGTTTTTAAATGAGTTTCAAGTAGGTCATAAATCACTCATGATTTGAAGGATAAAAAAGGTTGACTGAACAGAAAATTGATGTTTTTACATATAGGTTTAAAGCAGGTCGTGAATTGCTCATATTTTATGTCTTTGCAAATAAATTGTCATGGTAAATTTTTGTTTTTTCTTTGCTACTCTCTTATGCACCACAAGAACCCTCTGGAAATATTTCCCTATGGTCACCCCCTCCCCTAGGAAAATTAGGCAAGTTGACACCCTCCCCCTGGGTAATCCAATCCCTTCCATGGGGGTATAGATATTTTCTGGAACCACACAATGACCATTAAGAATTGTGCGAACGGTTCAAAAGTTGTGTGAAAAGACTTGTGCAAAATGTCCTTTATTTTAGCACATTACAGGAGAATTGCTGGCTAGGTTATTCTTTGGAATCTCAAATTGTCAATTTTTATACTTACCAGTCAGATGAAATGAAATGGTTTCTAGATTCTACTTATTCCCTAAGATCACACTTTGATCAAATTTCTGATGTGACATGCTTATTTGCAAGTTATTTAATACAGTTATCTGTTAACCCTTAAACTCTCAGACATGATCAACATGTTACTTCTCCCGATAATATCCTTACATTGTAAAGTAATCAGATATTGAGAATACTGAAAATTAATGGATAACAATTGTTTTTGTGTTCTAAGACCAGATTCTCCAAACTTATTCACAAGGAAATGTGTAGTAGCTAGAGAGGAGAATTAACGATCAGATTTTGGGAGTTTAGGGTTGAGGTAGCTGTGTCCAACATGTTCCTTTATTCACTTCCAAGATGCAATGAAAACAAAACCAAGCAAAGTCAATGGAGTTGAAGCAGTTGCTATGAATAGATAACGAGTGTTAGGAAAATGACTATTCCTATAGAAGTTGTAGTGCAACAAGAAATGATCGAATTGAAAATGATATAAAAGCCATCGAGACAGAAGTTTGAATGGTTTGAACGATATGTGCAAATGAATATCATGAACATTAAAGAATGTATAGAGCGTTTTCACTCACGTGACCAAATTTCTTTATCGTCATGGTAACCGACTTCATCCGCCATGTTGGTGTTCCATGATAATCAGCTCTGAGTATTGTGACAGGAAACATTTGGAGCACATTTTACGGTTTTGAGAAGACAATCGTGTAATATTTATATTTTCATTATCACAGTCCTTTGCCTTGTCATTAGCTGTGGAAAAAATAACAGGGAAGAAGTGGTCTAACGTCGAAAATGTAATGTTTTTTTGTGTCCCACGTGTTCAGTATAGTCAAGGAGAGTACATCGAAGAACTTACTTCTGAGCGAAGAAGAATGTGGCTCTGTGCGATAAGTAGAGATGACTTAACTGATGATATTTAAGAACGCTGATTGGGTCTGCAGCCGGCACTTCGTTTCAGAAGAAGCTGCAAAAGATTGGGATCGATTCAACGTAGACTGGGTCCCTGCCCTCCATCTTGAGCATTCAAGTATGCAGGTCCATTGCATCGGCCAACTATTTTACTTTCACTATAATAAAGTGGGTATTCTTTCTCTCCAAAAATTATTAACTGTAGATGTACCTTAAGCAGTCTAAAATTTAGGAAACATTTTCAATACACCAGATTTTAAAGACTGATATAAATGGTTTCTCATTTTAGGGACATCAAATTGCATTGTTTCAGGGTGTATACCATAAGCAAGGCATGTAGCAAAGGTGGCAGCAAATACTCCACAGTCACTGCTATTTGTCTGTTGTTGCACAGGGACAACTTGAATGCTAGTAAAATTTGAACGTCCAACAAGATTGAGTACCTGCTCTTGTACTTCATTTAGAATAATGTTATGATACAAACTGTCATACAGGTTGACAGTGCCATCTTCACACCC